ATGCAACTAGGTTTTTTGATTTGTTGAAAGATTTTGACAAACTATTATGGGATGACTGCACGAACCACAGTAAATTATCGGCTGTAGAACAAGTGTTCACCATCAAGTCAGAGTATGGGTCGAGTGAGGCCGGGTATGACAAGATTATTGAATGAGCAAGAAGCATTTTACCTGAAGAGAACTTCTATGCTGCGAAGTCTGTGATGAAACCTCTCGGTTTAAGATACCAGAAAATTAACATGTGCCCTAACTTCTGCATATTATACTACCTTAAAATGTCGAGATGACCAAGTGTATGACATGCGGGCATTCCCATTACAAACCTAAAACTGACAGGGGAAAGACTCTAGTGGCATATAAAAACTTAGATATTTTCCGATCACACCTAAGTTGTAGAGGTTATTCATGTCACCAAGGACTGCTGAGCACCTGACATGGCACCAAGCACACCACGCGGTTGATGGAGTTCTACGTTTTAATAGTGTTCATCCTCATTTTTCAGCTTAATCAATGAACATGAGTCAATCACCTTTGATTGAAAGAGAGTGTTGATCTGCCTGTCCCACTCCATCTGACAAAACTTTGGATCTCTCCTGTGGCCCATGCAAGATTTTAAATATTTTTCTCCTTTTTTTTTATTTTTAATGATGGAAAAGTCAATCTCCTTTTCTTTTCTCAAATTACTTACCAGACCTTTTTTACCGAGGCTTTTTAAAATCACAGTAAAAATTAATTTTTATTTATAAATCTATTGAAATAATTAATTTTTATTTTTAATATCTATACATCAAAATAATTTTAAAAATACTCTAAAAAGACTCACCAATATAGTTTTTGTCGTTCTCGTTGTCCATAAAATGATAAATCTAAACTCAATAAGTTTTTTAGTTTTATGGTGATTTTAAATTTGTAAATCAGTTTTTAAATCATTTTAGGCTATATATCAGTTTATCAAAATGTATAAGTTTCTTTCATGAGTGTTTTCGAATCAAAATTGGATTGATAAATAGTTTTCCATGTGAAAAAAAAAATTCCAATCTAATTTTGTGGCTGCCATTGTGGTTAAATTTGAAGAAAAACAGCAATGCATCGCTTGACTTTATTTCTGTCAGAAAAAAAAAATACAAGGTTGATGATATTTTTTCTACCTTGTTTTCAAGTAAAAATAGCAATGTCCCACATGTAGGCAATTTTAAAAATGGGTTTGATAAACGAGTTTGAGTTGTTAGATCCAAAAACATTTAATTTCATATATATATATATATATATATTGGCATAAACATCTCTTTTTTAATCTATTGATTCATGCATTTTAAGATTTATTTTGTAAAAAATATCTTTATATTTTTAAATTTAAAAAATAATGACATGGTAAAATACACTCGTAATGTTATTTTACTTTTCTATCATATTAAAAATTAATTTAAAATACTATATAAGGAATTGCGTTAACAACTCTTTTTTATATTTACTAATATATGTAATCCTTATTTTATTTTATTATATACAAGTATTGATTTTTTAATTTATATTTATATTTTTTTTTGTCAATATCAAGAAACATATTAACAACAAAGAATTATCCTATCTCCAGGGAAGCGAATAAATTAAACATATTAATATAAAATATTTTTTAATTTATTTAATTGAATACATACATAAACTTTTGATTTCTAAATAGATTTTGTTTGCCAAAAATCCTGAATATATATTTTTCTATGAAATTGTTTTTTCAATCTATACAATAACGCGAGTTAAATAGCTACTTTATCACAATCAGTTCTTCTCATCTCTGGTTCTTGGATCTCAATCTCTGAAGCATGGCCCTACTTTGTTATCATAATTATTTCTCGACTCTGGACCTTTTCACTGTAATTAATGGTCTGCAAACGAAATTTCTAAACCATGACTCTGTCTGGCTTGCTAGGCAACCAGTCTCTTGCTGGAGACATATATTAAGTTAACTGTGATTAAATCAATGGGAAAAATCATTTAATCCTCGCAGTGAATTTACTTTAACTGGTACAGATTTAAATCTGGGCCGGCTATCAAGTAGCGGGCAAGGTTAATAATAGAATTAAGGACCAGATTAATTTAATGATAGAATTAAGGACCCTAATCAGCCGTTTATGTGGTTTGTTCATGACAGATGAGATTCGTCTTTCTTGAAAATAACAGGCAGGTGATTAATTTTTGGTGATTAAATGTGTGATTAGAGCAAATTTACAAGCAAAGACATTCTGTTAATGCTGCACTGTGCACAGCTGATAACTTTAAAATTAGTTTTATAATCTTTTTAATGACAAACACATTAAATTTAGGTCAAGCTGATTAGATTATTTTCTCGTGTTTTTAAAATATTAATATGAATTATATTTATTATTATTTTTTCAAAATAATATTATTTTAATTAATTAATTTTTAATTTTTAAAATTAAGCTAGCTAGATTCACATTAAAATTAACTTAATTAACCATCACTGATCAATCAAGAATATCAAATTTATTTAATTTAAAATTTCATTTGAATTTAAATTTAAATTATTAATTTTTTAAGTATCAACTAAACTTAATAATCAAATGAATGTTAGTCTATATGGTCGATGGTGCTTCAAATTATAGCTCATCTTGTAGGCAAATAAATTCTTATAAAATTATATAGATAAACTTCATTGCTTACTTTGTACATATCCATTCAGAAAATTGTAAATAATTAAAAATATCATTCGGTATTGTAGCCAAATCATTGTTGGTCTAGAATTTATTTGTTTTTTATTAAATTATTTTTATATATTTTTATAGTTTTAATATATGAATAAAAAAAATAAAAAAAAATATTATTTAAAGAATTTATGGATAAAAATCATTTCGAAACTCAAAGTCTACTGTAATCTCGTACAGCACCAAGGCACAATGCCTAGCTTTCCCTGTCCTGCCCGTCTTCACGAATCCCTATGTTATCCAACGGCTAATATGAGCTCTCAACACCAACTAAATAAAACACCCATTTAGTTCAGTCACCAAATCTGACGCCGCTTAGGTCACCAAACTGCTAGCTACTGCCCTTTTTTGACTCCTTAGCCACTACAAAACAACTCTCCTTCTCTAGGCCACACACGGCCGTCGGTGAGCACAGAAAATAAAACGAGAAAACCACTTGTTATAGCCCTTCTAAATGTAGTTATATTCACTTTAGTCCCTCTATTTTAAAGTTTCTCTCCACCTTGATTTCCTGAACTTACCTGAATGTGGCTCTGGGTAATCCCCAAGCATTTACTACTTGTTGTTTTCATGTTTTCTCAAACGTTTTCAAAGTTGTTGGAAAGATTTTAACAAAGTAAATCAAAAATTGAATACATAATTAGATTTCCCTATATTTATGATTCTCTTAAAAAAATTGGATTTGAAACCCTTTAAAAGATCTCTGATTCGATACTCAATAAGATTTTTCAATTTATTTTTAAACATAACAAGTGCTTAAACTAGCGTTTGATTATTATCTTAAAATGAAAAAAACAAAGATAATAAAAATATAAAAAACATGTTTTCATGTATATTTTATTTTAAAATACAGAAATTTACTTTAAAATTATTATAAATATAATTTTAATTTTAATTTTTATCCCTATCTTTTCAATTAAACATGTCTATATCTTTATTCCTTCTATCTTTGGACACCAACCTAGAAATTTCTAGTATTAATTATTAAGGATAGAAGTCTTTTAGCAATAAATATTAGTGCCAAAGATACACAATTCAAACATTTATTATGCACACAATTACAGGTACAGCAACCACAAATAATTGCCTCCACAACTATACAAAACGACCAAATTGGAAATTTGGATACATCATAATTTTATAGTACAAAATCTCAAAATAAAGGATCAAAATGAGTCATTTTCAAATTAGTAGGGGTGAGAGTGTAGTTTACCAAAAATAAAAACATACACGCCCTTGACAATATCGAAATTAGCCACCTATAAATAAACCTTCGAAATCATTTCATAGTCACTTCCCTTAGTTTTCTCCGTCTCTCTGTGTCTCTTAAAAGGCTTAAGCTTCTTATCTCTCTAGAATCTCTAATGGCCGCCTCCACAGGTTCTTTGATTTCCATGCAATCTCGTCATGGAATGGTATAAAGTTCACTGCTTTAATGTTTGCTTTTGCTTTCTTGCGTATAACTGTTTTCTTTTTTTTGTTTGTTTGTTTTGTTAGATCTGTTGTTAAATTTAAGCTCTTGATTTGATCTGGGAAGCTTTTGATTTGATGTTTATTTTGCTTGTGATTAGATATCTTTATCTAATGATAAGCGCTGTTTTTCTTTGTTCTTGGCGTAGTTTTAGTGTGGTTTCATTGTGTTGTTTTCGTGAATATCTCGATCAATTTTTTAATCTAGTGAATTTTAGTTTAGATGCAAAGCGTAGATCTTTTTAACCAGAGTGACATGCATTTGGGAATATAGCTATCATTGAGATACCCTCTTAATGATGGGTATGATGTCTCTTGTCATCCTTTATGGGATACATGGCAGGACACAATGCAATTGCTTTGTTCCTCAAGCCGAAATCTCCTGGGAGCTGAGGGTGAACTTTGTTATTCTTTGTTTGAAAGATTCTTTTGTGGTTGTTTTATAATGCCCCCTTTCTTGTATTTGTTATTGATGATTCTCTGAAGCTCATGTTTGGATCTGTGTTAACAGGCCACATCCAGGATCTGTAGTTTGAAGCCAGTTTCACTTTCAAATCAAGGAAGAAGCTACCTGTCTTTTGGGTTGCGGTCTGTGCCAGCTCGCAGCCTCAGGGTTTCATGTGCTGTATGTTTCTGTGTTTAGATTGCTTTAGCATTTTATGGTTTTCTCTTGTGCTGTATTGTTCCTGGGAAATGATTGGTTTGTTGTATATTTTTCTGGAAAATCAAACTGGACTGACATGTTGTAATTTGGATGTACTTCATGGTTTTTATGTGCTTGTTTACTTTCTTAGGAATTCTAAAAAGTTTTGATTATGGAAATATGCTATAAACCTAGTGAAGGTGAACATATTGGTTTAAGTGTTTTTTTATGCCTTGTAGCTAGGGATTTTATTCAGCATATGCTTCGTATAAATTAGAGGGGTGCAGAATTGCTTAAAGCTAGATGCCTGATTAAAACGTGAATGTGCCTTTTATTTATCTGCTCCCTGGTTAAAACATGAGTTGGCAAGGAAGAAATGCTATATGTATATGTGATATATTTACCTGTCATTCATCTTCTTAGCTTTGGAAAATAACATGCTACACTGATTTCTATAACCTTCTAAGGTCTTCTACAAATTTTTTTTATGAGGTTTACTATAACGTGGTTTGTCATTCTGATCAGATGCAGACTTGTTTGCAATTGTGCTTGTTGTATTTCTTCACTCATATTCATTGATGACTTTAAATGTCTTTGAGCAGGCCAAACCAGAAACAGTTGAAAAGGTGTGTGAGATAGTGAAGAAACAGCTGGCATTAGCTGATGGAACTCCTGTTACTGGGGAATCCAAATTTACAACACTTGGGGCTGATTCACTTGATACGGTAATCTTACATTTACCTCTGAATGTTTTCTTATGAAACATTTCAAGGAATCATCTCCCCCCTCTGACATCCGAAGTTTTCCCCTTGACTGTTGATTGTGGATGCACATGAATTTTCTTGTCTTATGCTTTTAACTATTGCTTGATCAATAGATCTATTTAGTTTCCTAAAAAATAAAGTACTAATGGATATTAGTTCTCAAATTTAGTTCCTTAGCTGCCTACTTTAATGGAATGGTGGGAGGCGTTCATTTAATGGGATGAAAATGAAACACTGTTATTGTTTGTTCAATTACTTGAGAAGTGAAAGGAACAGTTATGTTTGTATGCCTGACTTTCTTGCCTTTTGAGTTAGATATAATTTCTCCATCTGTATTCTGTAGTGGGGAATTTTTTGACTAAGAATATAACCTGGACATATCATCTTAGGGTTTAATCAGTTGTTTTTAGCATATGGTGACCTGTATTTATTCGCCACTTCTTTCAGGTTGAGATTGTGATGGGGCTTGAGGAGGCATTTGGTATCAGTGTTGAAGAGGAGAGCGCCCAAAGCATTGCAACTGTTCAGGATGCTGCTGATCTTATTGAGAAGCTCGTCGAGAAGAAAGATTAGAGGAAACGATGATCAGACTTGGAGATCATTTTTCACCTGCACTTATGTTTCTTGTTGGTAGATGGAATGCTAGGCAATTGTGGTTATGTTTTGTTGGTTTCTTCTAGAAAAACTCATAAATCGCCAGGTTGTGAACTTAAGTTGTGTTTTCAGAAACGAACTTGGCTTTTCATGCTTCATATTGATAGACCTTTTACGTGATGTATTTTACATCGCATTATTACTACTACTATTTATTTTCTGTTTCATTTTTCACGTGAGGGTGAATCCCGGGGAGAATGAGATGTGCCCTTGGTACTCGAGTATGCCTGCATTTGCTATCCAAGATTCAGGCCAGATTAGGCGTGACCATCAATGAAGCCAGCGCGCTCTAATGCGTTAACCATCCTGACAGCCAGCCATTTTACCCAAATTGCTCTTAAACTAATTTTCTCAATTTACATAAATATGGAACAAATCTAGTCGCAAATTAGCTGAAAAATGACCATATAAGTCAAGAGGCCAATGGGGGTTAATGACTGAGTGGTGCAAGTTCCTGTAACGTCCATATCCTATGCATGCAAGGTTTCGCATCCTATGCATGCAAGGTTTCGCTGCTTTGCCATACACGGTTGGGGTTGAACCAAGGGGGGAACTGATAAAAAAAATTACCATCTTCCCTCACCAGCCAAGCCAAACGTTAACCATCCTCTAGTATCATCCAACCAAGAAAAAACCAGCACATCAAAGATACCTGGGGCAAAACAGGCCTTTGGACCTTCACGGTTCACTTATTCTTATTATACGCCGTGGACATCAAATGCACATCTATCATGAATGATCATGTTATACAAAACTGATCAAATGTCTCTTACATTCCAGTAGCATATTTCTATTTACATTGCACAACATATTTGCTTCCGAACAATACAGTGCTAATTTTCAATTTTCAATCCCAGTCATCGTCAAAGAAACCAGCATCTTTCATCTCTGAATAGTATACATTCTCCAGATTCAAACCTTCCTCCTATGGTCATCAAAAGCGCAACCACTAATTAATCACTCTTTCTAGCATCTTACAACATATATGTTAAAAACAGAACATAAACAGTGCAAACAAAATTTAGAAAAGCAAGGAAAAATGAACCAATGATTATGATTACCTGGAAAAAGTCAGCTAAAAAGGTTACATACAGAAGAGGAAGGTAAAAGGCATGGTAGCATACAATTGTGATCCCATACAACCTGTACAAGAAAGATTTAACATAGGGGAAAATAAAGCACTTAGAGCACATACTCCACACAGTTACTGTAAGGTTTAAATGGAATATTGTGATAAGGAGATTCATCCATAATTACCAGTAACCAAAACCAGCCCCATGTCCAGTAAGGGCACAAGCAAACAGTGCCAGTGCATTCAAGATGAACATAATGGCAATATAATTGTAGAATGCAGGTCTTGCTGTGAAAAGGGTAGAGATAAAAGTTAAAAAAAATAAGAGCCCCAAAATTGATTGTGCCAATATGCAAATTTTAGACAAACTTACCAGGTAGCCTCTCCCTCCACTTGGAATGATACATGAACATTATCAACCCATAAAAAGCAGTCAGCACAAGTCTGTGGATAACCCACAAGCTCCACTTCATGCGATGGGAATGGTCACTGCTATCAATGAACAGAGGAATCCCAAATCCAAAAAGGTATACAGCCTGTAAGAAAAAAACAATCCAAATGTAAGACTCGTTGCAATAACATACAAGAGCCAAAGGTTTTAACAGATTGTATACCAGTATTCTATATGTGCATCATAGCTTAAGAGAAGTAATTCAACAAGCATTTCAAACTTAAGAGTGCTGGCATTTGTTTGACCATTCTAGAATAGGGCACAAGAATTACCTGCCTTCACTGTCAAAGTGTCAATGCAACACACTAAAAAAGAAGACTTAAGATCTCTTCCCTATCTGATGGTAGCATTCTTTGTCAATGCCAGAGAAATGCTACTAAGATAACAACAAAGGTGTATACACGAAGAGAGAAAATAACTAACCTTCCCTATCTGATGGTAGCATTCTTTGTCAATGCCAGAGAAATGCTACTAAGAGAACAACAAAGGTGTATCAGGAAGAGAGAAAATACCTTGAGGAATATATCCAAACCAACAATGAGGGCTGAGACACCAAAAGGTTGTGTCAAATCTTCCAATCCACTCGCATAATTTCCTTGCAGTAAAAAGGCGATCAAGCTTACTTCCAGAAACAGCATTCCTGATGTTGTAAACAATGATAAGATATTCCACGATAATTCTTTTCCAGGAGTGCATTCCCATGCCTGAATCAACACAAGAAAAAGTAACGTGAGTGTAGTAGCCAAAGGGCTTTGCAGTACATGCAAGAAGAAGCTCCAAAGATTAAAGCCTTCCAGTACATGCAGGAAGAAGCTCCAAAGATTAAAGCCTTACGCTGGCATGACTGGATTTACACTATCTTCTAAAAATGTAATTGCATTTCATTAATCTAAATGATAGCGGCTGCAAGGCTTAACAGATGTTTATCTGCAAATGGTAAAGATGGAAAATCATCTAGGACAATTAGAGAGAGAGATGAATGTCACTTGGTTGATTATTGCAAAAGCTGGCATTACAATAGCATGCGGTCTCACACATTCTTATGGAGAAACATGTTCAGTTAATTTGTGTAGGTGCTAATTGAGCTGCATTTTAACGATGTGATAAGGATTTTTGTTACTAAGGTCAAACAATTTTTCTCTCTCCTGTATAATGATTGCTTGGGATCGAGAAAGTCATCTTAGATTTTCAAATGACTGTAACTTGATTTTCATGTTCTAAAATAATGACAATCAAATGGATCAAGTGAAACAAGATTGCTTCAGACTACGTACGTCAGATGATGGGCAAAATGAACATGCCAGCCATCCCCTGAAAAGATACAAGATGCAGCAAGACTAAAATATTGCTGTACAACCTACCAATTCCGGATTGCATCTTCTATTTCATAACTGATCACAATCTCTTAGCACCCTCAACCTTACACAATAGTTCGACCAATTTTCCACACACAAGAAAATTATTTCATACAAAAGATTAGTCATTAACACTGGAAAATAGTTGGTACTCCAGAGGAAGGCTACTATTGTAGTAAGTGCCCACAAATATGTTATATCATCCTTCAATATACCATCCTTTTGAATCTCTAACATTTTGAATTGACATTTGTGCTTTCGTATGGAAGAGAAAAGGGCAATGTACAATGGAGATATACATACAAATACTGACCCATGATAAAATAATAAAGCTCAATGATCTCTTACCAGATTAAACTCACAGAATGAAACATAATTTCACCAGTTAATGTGTTCATGAATCACCAAAGATAACTCATATCAGGAAACATTAAACATATAACAATAGATATAAACCATAAGACATCAATATTCTAAATCCATCAGAATGATTACATGGTAATCACACCAGTACTCCAAAAACATCCAAATGAGATACGATCAAACTGCTACCAATCAGCAAGGGGAAAAAAGCTAACCTACCGCTTAGATTATCCCTAGATTCTGCCTAATTAACATAAGCTTTATGCACGAATAATCAAAGTTCCAAATTGACTATCTTGATGGATGGGATGCTAGAAAAGGGTGACATGCGTAGAGTCAAACACATTCTAAATTGCTTTGTTAATCTTAACACCATCCGAACTGGTATCCAAAACAATTTTGACTAGAAACCTAAAAACAGCATCAAGCAACATTGGTCTTTCCACTAATTCGGAAAAACCACAAAGTAAACAACCATTCAAAATCTAAATGAATGAAAGAATCAACACAATCGAGAAATACACAAACAAAATGCTAATTCAACAACAAATCCATAAAGCTGAGAACTTTTTCAGAGACCCAATCAAGATTACAGTAAAACAGTGAAATGGGCAACCAAAATCAGAGTCAAAGTTGCAATTAGCATTAAAGAAACAAAAAATCAGAAAATATATTAAAAACCCACATAAAAAATCACCCATTAAGACTCTAAATTGAAGAAACCCACAAACCTGAGAGCAAGACCAAGCAAAATTAAGCAAGCTAACAAGCCAAAGACTGCAATAATAGGCGATCATTATAGATGATCTCCCATTTGAAAGCTTCCTAGAGCTCCTTTTAGCTTGGAATGCCAAATAGATTACAAAAGCAAGAGAAGTCAAGATCAAAATCGCATTATGCAAAAACCCATGACATTCAACGAGCCAATTGAAGAGACTTGGCCCAACAAAGGTCCCTTCTTTGAGAGTTGAATTAGGGTTTTGCGAGATAGGGATTTCTAACACAAGCCCCTTTCGATGAATATTGGGCATTTTTTTAAAGAAAAAAATTTCTTTGCGGGGATTAAAGAAAAGCCCTAATCTTGAATTTTTGTAGAGAATTATGTTGTTGGGTCTTGAGAGCTGGAATGTTGATGGTGTTGTGGTAATGCTTGTGTTTTCAGTTTGAACTTTGAAGTCAATGTAGTTGAGATTCGTCTGCAAAAAGATAACAAATAATAATAAAAAAAAATAACTTTAGTCCCCCTTTTGACATTTTTCTATATTTTCTACCATAGTTGTAAATCCGATTCTAAGGCTAAAAGCCTCAAGTTATTGGATAACCATGTTAATTTATAAAATATCAAGTTAATTCTAATTAATTATTTTTATTAAAATTATATTATTTATTAAAATTAATCAGATTTAAATTTAACAAAATTAATTAAAAAAAATTTAATCAAATCAATTAAATTTCATCAAATCATTAATTCTTTCGGTTTTTATTTAAAACCGATCTGACTCAGGCAGGCTATGCTTTGACGGTAGCTTTAAAAAAAATTATATTGTCATCATTTATAAGTGGAAGCTTACGTAAAAATGAATTTTTAAATGTTAATATTTATATGGATGTTTGGGAGAGTAAAAAAAATATCAAAAAAATAATAAATAAAGTTGGGAGGAAGGAAAAAAAAAAATAATAAATAAAGTTGGGAGGAAGGATTTCGTTAGCAACTGAACGTTGAATACTTACGTAGCTTCCTGGTCGTGGATGCTATCATAATATCATAGAGTTGATGTTGAAATTCCTAACCATAGAAGGTGAAATAAAATATTACCACATGTATAAGGACTATAAATTATAATATAGTTTTATTCCTAGTTTCTAAATTCAACTCGGAATAAGCTTAGGTTACAAATTGA